TGAATTTGCTTCGACATTCCAATCTTCATTTCGCTCTTTTATCCAAATGGGCAACCAAAACAGGCGCACGAAAGTGCATGGTTATTGGTTGTAAAAACTCAAACTCAAAACGCATCTTATTTTGCAATTCATGTCATAGTTTCTGAAATCAATGATGTGTTCAAGCACCACAAAGAAGTGAACAAACGTGTCTCATATTTGTCCGAAGTTAAGCAGATAACAAGCTTATTTGCCCGGGTCCGAGCGATCAATGATCAAGTGAGGAACTGTTTGACAAACACATCTAGGCATAAAAACTAGTCGCCACATGACTGAAGAGATAAATCCACATTGTCTAAAGACAAAAAGTACTCAATCTCACAACGGACAATAGTGGTAATGACAAAAAGAAGCACAGACAGAGTGCGAAAGTATTTCGACACCGATTTCACACAAAGTGCACGTGTGCACACACACACAATGTGGGCATACCTGATGTTTGATGATGGTGGAGAAATGATTATTTCTGAACAAAACAGCCAGTTGTCCTTCGTTCAATGTATCGGCCAATTCGTACAGCCCGTGATATGTCAGTTGTGAAGCTGTTTGCTCCAAAAATGTGTCCGCCAGTAGACCTACGCAGGAAGAAAATTCAATTCCGGTACAAATGGGAATAGATAAAATTTGTGGTTGGAAAAAATGATACCATTCCAGGAGGAAAAATGCTAATATTAAGGGGATGGGAGAAAAAATTCCGAGAACTTGATGCGGGAAATGAGTTTGGAGCGAGCATTCACTCAAAGTAGGTGTACGAGTAAGCTGACGCCTGGAGAAGATGGGAAGAAACTATTTTAAATACCGATTCAGGTTTCGTGTATGAAACACGGCTCAACGATGATGAAGTGAAAATCAACCATACTGATGTTCAACCATGCCTGATTTCTTCCATGGCCAGTGCAACAGTCTTTATAAAATGTACCGTGGTCACATACATCGAGCCACTCGTAGAAACATAGTATTGCTGCAAAGTGACAGGAAAACGACAACATGAAACCATTCACATCATAACCACAAGTTCACTACTGGTTGACAGTCGGAACACCTGTGGAGAATAGCGTTACTCATTCTGACTGGGACACGAAAATAGTTTGTGCCGTAGATAAGTCAAAACAAGGGTGAAACAATTGTCGCCCATCACACACACTAATTAAATGTTTGAAGTCAGTAGGTAACTGACGGACTCCCAAGAACCGCGATCCACGCCGTAAGATCAATACACTGGTAGTTATGACCCCTACATCAGGGGCATGCTAAACTAGTTACTCATCCCTATGTAAAACGATCTCACAAAAGAATCTCTGAATGTAAAAGAGCCTTGTGTATGGTAGTTGGCAAACAGCATTAGACCGTTGTTTCGTCCGTCTCGCGACTCATAAACGGGGAGTGCTCTGTTTGTGTCCTACAAAGGATTCAAAGGGCGAATTTTCGGGTGGAGAGCCGAAACCTTCACTTCCGAGGCTAAACGGTCGATGACCAGAGTTTTTCATCATCACTTTGTTTTTTTATCATATCCAAATCGAGTGAGTCATTCATTGAAGCGTCTTGGATAAGAGGATTTGTTGCAACCATAACTTGAAGCAAACTAAAACGGGTAGATGAACCTATGCGAAGACTACGGCCATTTGACGAGCAAACTGAATTCGTGGATTCTTTTATTCCACACACAAACACTTGCGCACGCGCGTACGCATACACACACACACAACGTGCTTTTCGTTCGCACGTAGCATTTGTCATGCACTTCACCGGCATGGAACAGATAGCACAATTTGTGGATACAGAAAGTCCCGAAATACGTACTAAATTCAATTAAACAGGACACGAACACGCAGCTGTGCCGTGCACTGCCTACACCCCGCACAACTACACTCGTATGCATTACCAATTCATTGCGTATTAGATTCATGACTGAATAAGCACGAAGATCTTGGTAAGAGGCATATAGTTTATGACATATTCAACACCGGTTAGGGAAACGGTTGAATCAATAAGCGGCCTCAAAAGTACGGCATGTTTAATCGCACCACGGTCGGTTACCCAAATGGTTCCCAAAAACCAAAGATGGCATTAGAACACAACCATTCTCCTCGGGGCACATGATTTTATCCCGTCCTGTTGGTAAATTGATCAATTGGGTCAGCTGATATTGTGACGCTGTACCCATAAAATGCTCAGTTGGGTCTGATAACTAATTCTGTCAAAATCTTCTGCAATTTCCTAATTTTCAACGCAGCACACGCGATCAGCACCTGCGCAATATTTAGAGGAACAGTGTCTTCTTCCGCATATAATGGACGTAGGCTTCTATGAGACACTATCGACAAGTAAAAAAGTTCAAACGAGCCGGATTAATGCCCACAATACCCAAAGAGTAAAAGGCGGTATAATTCAAGCAACAAAACAAACAGGTGACTCTTAAAGAAAGTTACGGCAAGGATGTGCCGCGCGGGGACTCTAAGTACATAGTGTTTGAAAGCGCCATCTCCGGGCATTAAACTTCATGTTTGGTGCACGCGGGACTGAGATACAGCAATGTGAACAATAGCATCTGTACCAGTATTTCGCTGTACGATGATGACGATCGGGCCACTTGTTCACAATCTCATTGCGTTATTTTCGTATTCATCTTCCGTAAGGGCAAAACAGCAAACATGCTCCTGTTTCTAGCGGACATTAAGTGCCATATTCATCGGTTCATACTGAAAATTTTCGGCCGTATGGTGAATGCGAACACGCAAACGTACATCGCCTAGAGTGATCTACCATCTCAATCGGAAAACACGAAAGAGAAACCATGCTCTGTCCCGAATCAGTCCAAATGGTTTCCGCGAAATTCATCCGTCGTTTACAACCCGACGCTGAAACCGATTCACATCTGGAGTTCACTACAAATAGGACTTTTTCTAATTTTACCACCTTTATGCCTTTCCCCTCAACTTTCGACTGTGTATGGCATAAAATGGTATACTGTTTGACTAGAATAGTAGCAATAAAATTCCCTCTGGCAAAAGACCGTCCGATCTTGAGTAGCTTGGTAATGTCATAGTGCTGAACAAAGACTCAGCTGCAAGCTATGTGACAACACAAGCAATATCGCCGGAATATCTAGCATCTGTTCAGTGAAATACGGTGACTGGACAAAGTTAACTCAATCTAGCACTGGCAAATAAAACAAAGCAACAAACAGGTACGTTGCTATTCTATACACCACATTTCATCCGGCGATCTTATTTCAGATGAAGTAGTATCACACAGGCAAAATCCTCACTTGGCACGTATCAATTATCTGTGACGTACACAACATATATGCGTAGGTTCACCGTGCAGTGTCGATCATACCAATCATATTTACTATGTTCGAAGACACGGTCGCTAGTAATGGGTGATTAAAAAGTTTGAAAAGAGCTGATTTAGAAAGCGCGAACTTGGTGAGAGAACAGAGTGAGCAAAGCTAATTTTGGGCTTACAGTGTTGGGTATCAGTGTCAGAGTCGAACAAAGTGTTCAACTGCTAGAGACCTCGATGATTAGCTCATGTGGATCACATTCCATCATAGATTTTTTTCTAAGAATCATGCTCCGTAAGAATGACAATTCCTGGAAAAAAACTTGCAGCGGTTAGCTTATGATGCGGCAAAAATATGCGGAAGCTTTGTCCCTTGGACTGAAGGGCTCAGACTACTTCCTTAGGTTTTCGAATCAGGTGTAGTGGGCGGTTGAAAACGTAATGTTGCACTCCGTTATATCCTTTCACTGATTCAGTTTTATCTGCTGTGCAAATGTCTATTCTGTTGTATGATCTCTTTTGATTTTTTCCTGTAGACACTTACAGTTGGACAGAAAAAAAAACTACAGCACATAAAAGCTCGACTGTCGGGGTTGTGAACAGCCGAGTGAAATTTGTACAAATATACCCCTCTTGGTTAACGGTTGTCTTCCGGTTTTGCCAACTAGACGATCGGAGGACTAGAAGAAAATCGGCATCATCTGGATACACTGATGGGTAAACTGATCATCATCATCGTTTGTGATACAACGAGAGAGAAAAAACAAATGCATGATCCAGTAACACGTAAATGAACGCTTCGTGTAATATCTATGCTACAGTAGAAACTTGACGACTCGGCCTTACGCTCACACTAATTTTGAACGCACAGTAATGTATTGGAGAAGATATATACAAACACTCAATCGAATGAACACAACAAAACAACAGTGACGAGCTGAACAGTGCTGGTGTGTATATGAACACACCTACAATCCGCTTCGTGGATCGATACTATTCGGTGTTAGTAGGCCACGCACTAACAAGAATAAAAATGCGATTGGTTAGATCATCTGTAAAACGTTGATGTCCAAAGAATAGTACCTTTATGAACGTCTTCCGGATTGGTGGACGCCTTCAAATGAATGATTTGTTCGACCAGCTGATTATACGTTCGGTTGCCAACAACTGAGGCTAATTCCATGTCTCTTGGATCAACCAACCATCCGTGATACAAAGAGATTCCAAACAGGTCGAACACACCCAAAACCGAGGTGAACTCAAAGGCGGACACACTGTCAGAAAACATCAAAAATGCATGCACCACAATCCGGGAAGAAAATTAGAATGGAAAACTTCATTCAATGAACGCGTATCCAAGAGTTCAGAATAAAAATAAAATTGTTTGTAAACTGCCAAATACTGATCACGAAAAAGTATGTAGTGAGAACTAGACAAGTTTCCTGGTGCACAGCAAACGGTTTAAAGTTCGTAGTGCATGATCTACCGAACAAGAGTGTAATATGCTGTGGTGCTCAGTGAGGAAGATGTCATTAATTACTTTTAATAGCTCAACACCTTAACTAACCATACTGAGACGCTCCCGAGTTCACTTGGAGAATGGGAACGATCGCTGATCCTTCGAACATTTGAGATATACCATCTCGAGAATACAGATGGTTCAGTTCAAAGCCTGTGATTATCTTCAAGGCCAAAATCTGTCATTTGTTATTGAAGGGGGTGGTGGGTGGGAGATGGTACTGGAGCAGTTTCGGACTTCGTTGTTGGAAAGTCAGTTGTTCTAAATGCCTTTGTGTAGTTACTGTAGGCAGCAGCAGCCTCACATTTCCACTCGCCTGATATATTCAGTTCTCAATAGAAAACTTCTGGCTCCTCGTTGTTACTTCCGAATTGTCCGTACTGTCTGTTTTCAGCCTCGTGAAAAAATTCATTACAAATACGTGGTGGTGGGATGGCACTGAAGTGATTTGATCAGCACTTAGTGAGCTCTGATTTACATTAAAAACAATCTTTGCAGACATGATGCCATGGATTGCAAAGAAAAAAGCAATGCGCACTCAACTGTGGGTGTATTTTTAAGATTTTCACACAGTCTCGCTGCCTTGCGGGTCAAGCTTGACTAATTAAATGCTACAATGGTGAATTCCTCAAGCAAATTCACCTGGGTAACCAGGCAGTACCGCACCCATGAGGAAATAATGAAACGCTTCCTTTCGATTATTGCATTATTGTATTATAGTATTATTGTTCTACGATTTGCTTGGCACATGGCACTCAGACGGGTGTGAATATATATATATATATATATATATATATATATATTCGTTATAATAACCTTCTTTGCAACACCGGGTAACCATTGGATAGACAGCTCTTTCAGACCCAGTCCAATGAAGAATCAATGCTATGATTCGATATTTGTTCAGTCATTCAAATACTACTTATTATGAAATATTCTACCAAGACCATCAGGTCACGTTTGTTGCGGTTAGTAGCATCTAACTCACTTACAAAATATCGAATTATAGCATCGATNATTGGACTGGCTCTGAAAGAGCTGTCTATCTAATGGTTACCCGGTGTCGTAAACAAGGTTATTGTGACGAAAATACACTTCCTGAGTATATGAATGAACTGACAAAAGGTTACCGGATACGCATTCCTGACGAGCGGCAAAAACCG